CAGAAAAATTTTAAAAGTTGAATAAACTTGACACTATGTTTTTTTACCAATCGCCTCACTATTGCCTTTGTTGTCTACTCCTAGTAGTTCCAATTTCAAAGCAATTGATAATATTTTGGACAATGCTGGTCAAAATCCATCGTCTACTGCTCTAAAAAAAAGAAAAAAAAAAGCAATATACTACTAAAAAGACAAGTAATTATTAATAATAATTTTTTTTTTTATTTTCAAATTCTTTAAATGAACATGCGTTCTCTTGCAAGGAACATGAATAACTCATTATCACTCACTGTATCTCGCGTCTACTGTATCTCCTGCACCTTTTTGGGTGGAACTTTTAATAATTTCATTAAACCATTTATTGCAGAAATGGAATCATTAAAGCATGGCCAAATCATGAATATTCCAGGGTCAAGATTATAAGCTATTGCTACCAAAAATAATGAAAATGATCTCTCGTTGGAACACGATAGCAATGCCATAACAGCAGATAGCGACTACGAGCCCATTGCTGGTCTTGAAGTAGTCACAGCAGATCTGCCACAAGGAAATGTTCTTGTAGAGGTTACGCAACACTATATCTCCCGCGTTCACTGTTTTTCTCGCTGAATTTCTCTCATTGAATCACTCACCAAACAGCCCACCGAACTACAGATGCCAGTCTAATGAGCATTAACACAACGTCTAAACAAAGGTTCATATGTATAATAAATCTCCGATTAATGGCCAAGAGAGTTGAAGGTTCAATAATGAAGTATACTATACACTTTGTAATGAAATAAAAACAAGATACATCACATAAATCCATATCAATTTTTATGAACACCTCGCAATGAAGATGCCAATGTATCTAGAAGTACAATCTTCAAGTGCTCAAAATTCCCATGGAATCAATCGTAATTTCTGGTGGCAGTGGAATTGGGAAACCACAATTAGGGATCAAAATTAATAATTTCATTCCCAAAGACAAAAGGATAAGTCAATTAGAATCAACCCCACCTCCGACATTGCCATGAAAAACATTGTTGTCAACCATGGAATTAATTGAAAAATAAAATTTGAACCCATTTATATTAATATGAGTGAGATAAAGGAAACGAACTCACTTATGATCCTATCTACATCTCACACATATTCCAGAGAACCTTATCCGAGGAATTTTATACCAACGGTTGAAATCTTTAAAGAATATATGCAGTCCAAAAAAAAACACAAAAAGCTCAAAGGAGGTACATAATTGACGGTTTTTCCGGCAGGAGTTCTATGGTCACCTTAGCATTTAATTATTTAATTATTTAATTATTTAATTTAATTTATATTTAATTTACGTAATATACGTTAATTAAGCGAATATAATCAAATTTTAGATTAAAAATTTTCTTTTAGATACAATGGTTGAATTTTTCTTTCTCTTTTAAAGTTTTCT